ATTATGTGGTTTTGGTTTTAAAGCAGGTTTTACTCAGTTTGGACCAACTGCATTTTTGTATATTTTCCACACTATTTGTTGGAAAAGTATGATTAATGCCATTGAGTTTAATATAGAATTAATTTATTTTAAGACTATTGAGGAATAGCCTTTACTTACACTATCAGTATTGGGAATCTTTTTTCTTTCCTTTAGCTTGCTTAGAGAGACCTGCATTATTTTGTCATTTAAAAAAAACCTCTGAGCATGGTGATGAAAATGGGAAATGCACATTATTCCCATTATGACTTATACTTGTAATTATGTGAGATTTTAGACTTTGTTATATAGCCCTTTTATTTTATCACGGTGTTCACTTGATATTTTATGAAAATGCATTACATGTTGTTGACAGTATGTGCCTTTCAACCTGTGGAAACGTGCCCCAGGCTGGAAAATAAATACATCTATTTTGAATAAATTATTGCCAGTGTGCACACAGTTTGGCATCTCTTATTTACATAAGGTATAAAAAGAAAACTTGTCTTTCAAGATTACCCCAAAATAAAGCAAACAAAACTATCACTCTGCTAGACAACTTATCTACAATAATTAAGCAATATAAATAAGTACATCATGACGGTTTACGTCAACACTGTCTCAGTATGTTGCTTCGCCATCCATGTTGTCATCACTATCTGCAGCAAAATCTTCACCATTGTCAAAATAGCTGTCAATGTAGTCGTTTTCCTGCATAGAAACAAAGGAAAATTTTAACACTGCTTCTTACAAATTGACCACATGAATTTGCCAACAAAGATTTCAGGTTATGATTTGTAATCTAACCTCTTCAACATCCTCTTCATCGTACTCTTCCGCCTCAATTTCTTCCTCATCCTCCTCATTTCCTTTTTTCTTTTCAGTCTCATCATCTGATTTTTCAGGGTTCCCGTCATCCCTCTTTGCCAGTTCCTGAAATATAGACATTGAGATTTATTAATTATGGAAAACATTTCCTAGCTCAGAAGGACATACGCAGTTCTTGGTAGGTACATGTATGCACCAACTTCATACCTACATAAATGGGTATTTAATAAATCACATAAAGAGAAAATTCACAGTACATGTTACACTCAGTAGTTGAACACAGAACAAACAAGTAAGAAAAAGCTTACATCTAATTTACTCAGTACAGCTTCTGTTTCTTTGCGGGATATCTTCACAGCTTTCTTCTTTGTGCCTGTTAGATTAAAGCATTTTGTCTTTATTTTTACAGCCATCAAATGGAATCTCGCTCAACATAATGTCTTAAATATTTACCTGGTTTAGCACGAGGTTTTTTAGTTTGGGGCATCAATTCTTTTGGGAGGTGGTTCCAGTCTAAAATACCAAGAATAAAATCTCCATTATCTTCCATTTTTCTTTGTATTTGCCATTATCATTTGACAGTATGTTTGGCAAGTACCTGGAGTCCAGTCTTCATCTTCTATCTGACGTAGCCTCAGGTATCTCTCCGCGTATCTCTCCACCTCTGTTTCAAGTAAACAAGAGAAATTTCTACTTGATTGCGCTCTTAAACACAACTCAATTCATTCTCACAGACCACTGGGGGTGCTACTTCTTATTCTAAGCCACGACGCTAAATCATACTTAGAGTAGTTGTGACTGCAGAGTCACCGACTGTTGGACAATTTTATCAGTCCCAAAGCAAAAGTGCCTTTTATAGACATAATCCATCAAATCCCAGCTCGTTATGATAAATGTTAGCACTTTATTTTGTTCCTAAACACCTCAATTACGCATCTGACAACATTTAGGACCAGACTTAAAACTTAATCTACTGCTTGTTTTGAGTAAATTTAGATCATCGCTGAATAAGGGAACTATGAGGCAAGCCAGGCCAGACCACAGAAATCATATTAAAACAGCCGCATGAAGCAGCAGCTGTAACTCAATACTACACAATAAATACACTTCTCTCTCCTTTTCCCAGATATGATCCTAATTAAATGACCGAATACCTAAGTGCTGCATTATCTTCCCTCACAGCAGCCAGTTGTCTTGCCGCAGCACTTCTGTCAGATGTCAGGTTTCTAATGCACTACTCTCCTCCTTACCTGCTTTATTGGACAGGGGCTTGATGTTGTGTGGCCGCCGCTGCATCGCTCCCCTCATCTCCTGTTTTAAGGCCAGCATGTAGTCCTCATCCTCGCCAGCTTTCAGTGGCACTGGCTTAAAGTCTGTGTTCTGGAGGAACATAGATGGTGGAAGGGAGATGATAGCAAATAAGTTACGTTACTTTTTTACAGATTTGTTTGCACTTTTAGTTTTACCTTCATTTTTTTCTTCAACAGATTACTTTTTGGATTTAACTGATATTAGTGCAATTTCATCTGTTGTTGACAGTAAAATAGCACCCAATCATCCAACACTTTAAGTGAAAGAGATGATGTCAAGACAATTAAAATATATCCTTTATATTTATACTGAGTAACATTCCTGTGCAGTTTCCTACTGTGTAATATTTTACTACTTACTTTGCAATAATATTATGTATTATATTGTATGAACAGTAAAAATACTACACACCATGTGTGTTACTGCAATTATCCAATTCAATTATCAATCATGGACATACAGTATCTGTATGATAAAAGGTGCATATGGTGTTTATTGGTCTAATATTATTCTATTTTTAATTATCTAACCTGTGTTTTTGGCATATTTTTATCCTTATTTAGCACACAATATTTTTCCCCCTTTTCTTTCACTTCGAACTCTTGAGCTATTGTAATGTGTGATTTTCCCTGGTGTGGGATTAATTAAGTCTTCTCTTTCTTGTCCCTTCCCGTCCCGTCTCGCCTCGCCTCGTCTCGTTTTAAAATACAGTCAAAACTGGATTCCAACCTCACAAGTAATGGTGCACGGCCCTTCTGGTATAAATACGAATAAGCTGACTCAAAAAAACTGGGCAATTAAAGAAGGATGATGTTTTTAATGTTGGTGTTCAGCTGACAGGGGAGACCTGCAGAGCACCAAGGTTACTTAAGTGCTTAGCTTCAAAGACAAACTATACTATATATTACACATACGCTCCAAATTTTGTGCCAAGGGAAATCAAACAAACAAGCAAACAAAAATGGCCACAGGACATCCTGAACTTACATCTTTGTGGTCTGTGTTACCTTAAGTTCAACTGGACTTTTGTGCATGCCTCCATAGAAAACAGCTAACTATTGAATTTTTTGACTGATAGGGGACCACTTTAACAACAGCAAAAGATTTCAAAACATCCGTTAGCAAACTCTCACATGACTCGTGCAGTATAATCCAAGTCTCAGTTATTCAGTCGTATTGTCAGTACTTTCAAAACACATTAAGTTTTGCTAAAAACCTTAATATTGGAGTGTGACATTGAAGAGACCATAGATAATCTTTACTTTCAGTTCAGTTTAAAATTATATGGTTTTAGTGAAAATATTTGTGTTTAGGGAGAACTGAGCCTATGATTGGATAAAGAGACAGAGGAAGGATTGTACTGCATGAGTTGTGTGTTGTTAAGGGGTGTTTATCTGTTGTTAAAAGTGGTCCCCAATCAATCAGTAAATCAGTATGTTTGCTTTTCTCATGGAGGCACGTGAGAAAAACAAAGCCGTCCTCATAAATTCGGCATAACTAAGTGATTTACAAATGCTCATTTTGTGGGTAAAGTATTCCTTTAACTACCAACAGGGCAAACTGACCCCCAGGCCTCAAAACCCTCAGGTATATCAGGTGGTTTGTGATAAGATATTTAAGGTATTTACCACCAAATGGTTGGTCTCTGGGTCTGTGTGCAAAATATAATTAAGCTGTCAGGTGTAGTGTGGAAAAGAATGTATGCACAGTGCACAGAGATTTGAGGAAGAGGAGTCAGTAGGGACCCAAAAGTCATTTTTGCACAGTGGCAGTCAATTTGCTGCATCATGCAGAAAATTAGCACCAGCAGCTGGCAGTTTGTCTATTACAGGATGATGCTCTCGGAGAAGCCACTTAATGGGAAACTGCTTTTAAACAGACAGGCTCTTAACATTACCATGACAAACACTTCTTTTATATTTTATCTACACAAACAATATCAGTTTGAGATGTCATGCACATTTCCACCAGTCTCTCTCATATATCAACACATACTTTGAAGACTAACATCCCTGAAACACAGTGCCTTACAACTCTTTGAGGGCTTTTAGGTCAATTTAATACCCTGCGATGTGATATGTCATCCTGGCATCTCTGCATTTGTGAGTGTGTGTGGTTGGTACTTACGGGAAACAGAGGGCTGGGCCCCACCCTGGCTTCTGGCATGCTGCCCCTGCCGATGCCCAGAGCCTCAATGTTGAAGGTGAAGGCAGCCACTCCACGACCCTTGCCTGCCATGGCTGCTGGCCTCCTCTGTACCTGTAACACACACAGTGCCCATGCTTTCAGGCAACTTCACTGTCAGACACGTGTGGACACAACAAGTTGCTGTACCACAGCTTGCATCGCCTTGTGCCTTACTTTGCCTGCTGTTGAGCGTTTGTCAGCACTGAAACAGTATATCAGAGACTAATGAACATACAATACGTTGTTATACTCACTATAATGAGACTTTTAGTGAATTACTCCTAATGTGGAGACGTGTTTCCAGGGCTATTCGGTGGCATTTAGCCTCACTGAGTCTCCATGTTTTCACTTTTCCGGTTTGTCATTCAGCTACTCAGTTTTATCTGTTGTTCGGCATTTAAACTAACTCTGAAACACTAAATTTACAGCTATACTTAACAGAAATTTGTACACTTGTGCTGTAACCGGCGTGTAATGCTGCTCACACACTACACTCAGCAGTATGCGTAAATGTGGCTTCACTCGTCCCGCCCCTCGTGACGTTTAAGAAGGCGGAGTCTATTTACAATCAATAGAATAGCGCGCTTTATGTTGTCGTCACTCCACTGTTCGTCCAATGAGCACGCTCCCCTCCTACAAGGGTGTGTCGGCAGCCACCATCACACCAACCTCAATGAAAACATATCACCTCTAGCTGGAAGGCTAGTTACACCTCTCCGCCGCTGAATCACCTGACAGCCCCAAACCCGCAGCAGGTTAATTCGACACGTGCATGAACTGGGATGTCTGCAGCCGACTGGTACGCCCACAAGTCGCTGGGAGACGGACTCTTCTGGATCCAGGAGCGATTCTACCAGTCGGAGAACCGGGCCAACATCTGGCTGCTCCGCGGCTCGCACCAGGACGTGGTGATAGACACCGGGCTGGGCTTGAGGAGCTTACCTGACTACATAGACGGCAAGGGGCTGCTGGGCGAGGACCCGCAGAGGAAGAACCCGCTGCTGGCCATCGCCACCCACGCCCATTTCGACCACTCGGGCGGTCTGCATCAGTTCCAACAGGTGGGCGTCCACAGCGCCGAGGTCGATGCTTTGGCCAACGGAGACAACTTCGAGACGGCCACCTGGCTCAGCGACAGAGAGATAGCCGAGGCTCCCAGTCCGGGATGGAGGGCCAGGCACTACAAAGTCAAGGCTGTGCAGCCCACACACATCCTGCAGGAGGGTAGGTAGGAGATGCAGCCTTTGCAGATTCTGCAGGTGTGATTTATTGTAAGGGGGGTGGGTCTGTGATCACAGGCGAGGTCAGAAGGTCTAAACGCATTTGCTCAGGAATAAGCATCATGGTCGATACCATTAGACAGTATTTAATGGGTGCGCCTGGACCCAGTAGCTGTAGCTCGTACATTAGCTCTATACAGAGGAATCCTTCCTATTCCTATGCCCACAGGGGGATTTCACCGCACAATGAATTTGGCAGAAGACCAAAAATGACTTGCTAAAACAATGCACACACACACATTCCTATGAATATAGAGGCATACAGAATATGAATGTATGATGCACAAAGCTTATGTTGCAAAGGATGCTGTGTTTGCTGAGGTGAGGTGTAAATAGCTCATTAGGTAACATACTATGGGCTATGTAAAGAGTGCAGAAGGTGAGGCAATATGTGACAAGATGTGACAAGAAGAATTTTTTATAGGCAGCTGTTTTGCTCATCCTTTATCAGTCTTTGCAGAGGAGCTCTATTTTAAGCCAGCGTGCTGATGACTCTGGCACTTCCAAGAAAGAAAGAAAAAGAGCATGCAGAGATGGGCTTATGGAAGGCATCCCATATTATTAACTGCACAGCATGGACTTAACCATCACCCACTCTACTAATGGCAGATACACACCAAATCAGTCACTAACAGAATAAACTCACACTATGCCATGATAGATTTTTCATTCATTTTATCCTAACCGATGACAAAGCTTCAAAGCATTTTTTTCTTGTGTTTGAGTTTGGACCCAAACTTGTTTGTTTGGATCTTTAGTATTCTCACAGAGTGTAAGTTCTGCACCATCAGGCAGTGCACCGACTGGTTCTGCTGTGTCAGAGCCACTGCTGCAGTGCAGTTGGAATATCTCATTGCTCAGTGTTTCAGTTTCACCCTTCGCTCACACCGATCTGTACCAAATCAATGATACACTGAATGTCCTGGACGTCATGATGATATGAGACATGTGACATGCGGGAAACACAAATATAACCCTGGATCAATTCCAGCTGACCAAATTATGAGGAACATAAGGATTTAGTACACCTGTGAGTGAAATGCATATGTTACACAATAATATGTGGAAATGACTTTGAAAAACATCTGTCTCCTGTCCAGGTGATGTCATCAACCTGGGTGACAGACAGCTGACGGTGCTCCACATGCCCGGTCACTCGCGGGGCAGCATCTGCCTCCATGACCGTGACAATAAGTTGCTCTTCAGTGGGGATGTGGTGTATGACGGCGCCATGATTGACTGGTTGCCCTACAGCCACGTCAATGACTACATCAGCAGCTGTGAGCGCCTGGTGGGGCTGGTGGACAGCGAACAGGTAAAACTGAAACACAACAGGACCATTTCAGCTCATGGTTCCATATCATGGGTCAGACTAATTGAGATTTGATGCACATCCAACCCCATCATCTAAGAAATACTAGATGTAGAGGGTCATGATCTGTTATGATGTTTTTGACAGAGGCGTCCATCTGTATCTGCTCAACCAAGTGAATGATCTGACTCCGTCTCAGTACTTGACCTGGGCAGAGTTTAAACTTGAAGTGTGTAAGATTTGAACTGGACTCTGTGCAATCTAACAGGAAGTTGGGATTTTAAACCTGAAATTGATATTGTGTGATCAGAAGTTGCTATATTTATTATTTTTTATAGAACTATGCGCAGAACAAAGTCAGAATTGAGCCTCATTTTTGATCACAAGAGTAAGAGATTGAACATCGCTACCGAAATGAGGATTTCCCCTCATCTCTAGCAAATTTATTCTAAGAATGGAAATTTACTTGTAAATCAAAATTTTTACCAGAACTTGTTTTTCAGCTGTACATAATATCCTTACAGTAAATCAGAGCTTTGTACCACAGCAGTGGATACAGATGTTTCAGTGTGCCTCAGCTGATGATTTATAAATGAATGTAGCATGTACTGTACATCATTTTTGAAGTGTCTAACAACTGGCAAATTCATTTAACAGGTTGACCAAGTCCTCCCGGGACACTACAACACCTTTGGCGCAAAGCGGCTCCATCGGATTGCATCCACATATATCAGCAGAGCTGGAACGTGCCCTGCAAAGTTCTCCACATTTGCCTGGGGTACTCTGGCGGGGGTGGCGCTGCGGGCATATAACCCACGTAGTGCCTGCTAATGAGAGGGGATCATGGAGCTGGAGGGGAGCACAAGTGCACAAAGAAAGATGTTTAGATATGGAGGGGAGACAGCCCTTATTTATCTGTAACCCGATGTAACATTTTTCATTCACTTATGTAATCCAACAAAATATCATATAATTGCCAAACTTTGTGTAAAATGCCCTGATTGGGTTACATAAGTCAATAATCAGCATCATATGAAGCATATAATATAAAGTATTTATAGTGTGATTCTGTTCTATATTAATGAATACGTATTTGTTGGATTGAATATGGTTATATGTTTGATTTTTATACTTTAAGCAGTTGTGAAATTATAATAGCACAACAATGGTACAGCTCTGCACTGCAAACAGAAAGCAGAGTCAGTATGGCCATAGTATTTCTCTATGCATTTTACAATGCTCAGTGAAGGCTCAGTGTCAACTACCTCCAACGTTTGTAACAGTGCTTTGTACTATTGGCAAATCTACGGCTTTGGTATCGAAACATTGACAATAAAGCCTCTGTTCTACCTGCCCTTCTTGATGCATCCACAAGACAGACAACTGCAGCGTCTGTGTGAAATTTTATCTTCAGGTGTTCACATAAGATGGGATCTCCTGTGGGATTTAGCTGCTGGAGGGAGAAAGAGAGGAATAGAATTGAATAGAAGATGATCCATCGTGCTCAAAGTGCAGAGCACTTAAAGTACTTTAGTGATCTAACAGAAAGCTCTCCCACTGCAGGAAAAGTGTACGTGGTGGAAAAGAAAAGTTTCCTTGAGCCTTGTTTCAGCTTACTATACAGAAATTAAACACAGGGTGTGTTTGACTTGTTATAACTCAAATATTTTGTGCTACTGTGTCAATACAAGTAAAGAATGTATTTATATATTAATCACACTGTAAGACACACAGGATTAATGATTTCATCTAAAAAGGTTATGCCATTAACAGATTTATTATGTAATATTTCAGAGTTCAAAATACTGTATTTAATTGTTAACAACTAGAATTACCACCTCATGTTTGTTTGCCTCAGCAAACCAGTCAAGTTGCAGGTACAGTTTACATCCATGTCTTTCCAGACTCATATGTAGCCATGACAGTAGACTATGGTTTAAATTTGGATGCTGCTAATGTAGATGGTTCACAAACATATTTAACCTGGCAGCACAGATCTATGCGGTCAGCACATTTTTAAGGTGGGCACCTGAGATTAGTGTCACCAATTCATTTTGTGACCTAATGTCTTTCCTTCTGTTCCTGAGTTATGATGTTAAATAATGGCAAGAAGTGTTTTTGCAGAACACTGTGATGTCACAGTGAAGCTGACCTTTGACCTTTTGGATAAAAATGTCATCACTACATAATGTTGTCCTGTTGGACATTTGTGTGAAATTTTGTTTAATAATTAGCATATGAATTCTTGAATTCTGGCCAAAAATGTGTTTTGTGCGCTCACAGTGACCTTCGACCATTAAATTCTAATCAGTTCATCTTTGATTCACCACAAGGCCTTCTTGAGATATTGTGTTCACAAGAATGAGATGGACACTGTAGGTCACAATGACCTCTGACCACCAAAATCTAATCAGTTTATCCTTGAGTCCAGGTGGACGTTGGTGCCGAATCAAAGTAAATTCCCACAAAGTGTTCTTGAGATATCATGTTTACAAGAATGAGACAGACAGGAGGTTACACTGAACTTTGACTCCCAAAATCTAGTTGAGTCCAAGTGGACGTTTGTGCCACATTTGAAGAAATTCCTTCAAAGCACTCCTGAAATATTGCATTCAAGGGAATGGGATGGATGCACAGACAGACAAACAACCTGCAAACAAAATGCCTCTGACCACAGCTGTGGAGGTATAAAAACAATGTCGATGTGTAAGTGAAGACAGCCAGTTGTGAATTGATAAAACATTTATTATAATTAATGTTATATTATATAAACATGAGATTTCCACATTTCTCATTTTATGTTCGCCTTCTAGGACGGCGTACATGCAGAACACAAAGCCTGCTAACACGAGAAACTTGCAAGGTTATAACATTCAATGTTATCTATTTGTAACAGTTAAAGATCTGCACATCATCTGTTAACATCGTGATAATCAGATATCAATATAGCTGCATTTATAACAAAATCAATATTGTAACAAAAGACAAAGAGAGGAGGTTTATTTGTTAACTTATAAAAATTAATTTACAGTAACAAATGCTGTTTTTCAAACATCTGACAGTTTTAATTCTTAGTGAAAATGGTTGTACGAGTTCTGAACCCCAAAAGGGAAAACTATTAGCAAAGTAGAATCTACAGTAAACAACAGAGACGGAGAAGAAGAGGTTTTACTGCACTGACAGACACAGACTCTCCTTAAAAGATATTCACATGGACGCCATGAGTCAGATGATTGTTTCCTTGTGACAAGAAGCTGTTCAGTTGTCTAAATGACAATAACTTATATAATTAAATCCATGAATGGCAGTGTAAACAAAAATTTTAATCTCAATCTTACTATCACGACCTAGAAGTTAAGTGGGGTTTCATCCAAGTACTCAGCTTTATAGAAGTTGCCTAAAAATACAGCAACCGTAAAATAATTTCTAAGATTTCTGAGTTGCATAATATTTGATTGGTGGATGTTTCACATTTTATTGGACATTTCATAATCAGGGACCAGGATTCTTGAGGGAATCCTAAAATACTGCAGTGCACTACAATGTAGCAGAATTATATGAATGGCTTGAGTTTCAACAATACTTAAAGGGTAATGTCAGTATTTTTTTTTTTTTACCTAGACTCTATTTGCCCATGTTTTTGTGTCTAAGTGACAAATGAGAAAAACAATTTTTAAAATTGTCCAGTACTGAGAGAGAGTGGTGGTACTGGCAGCGGCGAAACAGGCTGCAATGTAACCCCATGGGGCATTTGTGCACCGTCAGTTAACGTCTACTAAATGTGCTTGTTTTAGCTACTGACAGGCTCAGATTATTATTCTAAGTGTCTGGCAACATTATGGTTGAATTAAGGGTTAATTTCAACCAAATCAGTGATTGTTGAAACAGTGGAGAGACTGATCACAACTGTTTTTGTGACTTTTACTTTGTTTCTGTCAACCTTGAATAAAGTGTGTTTTACTATGATAAAATTTACTGTTCACTTAAATGGAGTCTGGTGGCCATGGTGATAGCAATTTCCTGGCTTATTGTAGGGATCCTTTCCATGATGATCCTGTCACTATGATGAAAGATACTTATAATAACAATCTGAGCTCGTCAGTGTCAAAAACAAGCACTTTTAGTGGACTTACATTGACAGAGCACAATTTCCCATTAATCTTAAATTGCAGCCTGTTTCACTGCTGTCAGCTGCACTACTCTCACTCTATACTGGACCAGTTTCAAAATTTGTTGTTCCCATTAGTCACGAAGACACAAAAACATGGGAACTAGAGTCTAGGTTGAAAAATATCGAAATGACCCTTTAAGCTTTGATTAATTTCAGCTTATTTTAGAGTTTGTTCTCTGTATATAAGAAGCTGTCACCCACTTCTGAAGACAACCCGTCAATAGTGTGCAGATAAATGTGTGTAAAGTTAAGACCAGAGCACAGATTTTTAACCTGAAGAAATCACAGTAATAACCAGTACAGTATGTATGAGCACTTGCATAAAGTTAAGCTTTCACCAGATCCATTTTTGAAATGATCTCAAGTAGTTCAACATTTTAACTGTAAGTCAAATCATGCAAGAAAAAAAAATGGTGCATAGTAATTTTAGGAGAACCACAATGATCATCTGTTGTATGAATAATTAGATGCGTACACTGAAGTAGATATCACAGTACAGAAAACAGACACCAACCCTTCCCTCCACACTTACCAGTTTCTAACACTTGAAAACTCTTGACTGATTAAACCTTATGTTCATCTTGCATGTTCATCTTGTCACATGCTCACTGGCTTTCATAGCATTAACACCGCACACCTTTATTTATAAAATACAGATAGGAAACATCCAGTCAAAATACTGCTAGTGCATTAGTAGAGATGATTTGAGTGGCCGGGTTGGCTGATGCAGAGGACAAAACAAAACCTTGCCTAGTTCAAGCCTTGGAGTCTAAGGACAGACAGTAGGCCCAGTGTGTTTATCGGAGCATGTCCTTAGCTCTTAGCATCACTTTCTCCCAAGCAGCATGACCATAATAATTTCTCAAAGCAAGCAGAGTACCTCCCATTTCATTCTGGACCATCTTCAGAATTGTGGCAATCCAGCAAAGTGCAGAGTTGCCTGCAGTGATTGTCACCTGTCCTTTGTGTTGGAAGACATTCCAGTTTGCCCCAGGAGGGTCTTCCATGATCCATCCTCCACCAGGAGGCAGGCTAGAGGCAGCTTATCTTCCTCAGGGCTGTGCATGTGGCCTAGCAGACTGCCTGAGGTTGGTTCACATATGTTAAGCCAGTTAAACCATGGTTTAATGAGCACTGTTGCCTCTAGGCCAGCATAAAATGTCTCTCAGGCGGAACTAGTTCACACCTGACTTTGGAGCCAGTTGCGAGGATCAAGTCTGGCCCTGAGGTTCCTGAGGCTGCGTCGAGCCGGGGAGGGCCTTGAGAAGGGGGCTCCCTCAGATGACTCGGGGCTGTGGCTGCCCTCGCTGTTGCTGGAGCTGTTGCTGGAAGTAGAGCTGGAGCAGGAGAGCGTGGTCTGTGTGCTGCGCTGTGAGCGAGGCGAACGAGAGGACATGGGGAGCGGGGCGAGCAGCGAGGAGGGAGGAGGCTGGCAGGGGCACTGGAGGGTCCCTCCTCCTCCGTACCCCCTCCCTCGAAGGGTGCTGAGCTTAGCATCCAGGGACAGAGTGCGTGGCCTCAAGCGGGAGGGAGAAGATGACAAGAGGGAGAAGTTTGACGCCGGCTCGGGCCAGCCGTGGCGGTGAGAGCAAGGACTGGTGCTGCAGTGGCTGTCGCTGTCCGAAGTCAGGCTCGCATCTGAGGACAGCAGACTCAGCTGTGGACAGCGGTGAGGGCTCGCAGGGCTCCGGGGCAGTCGGTGAGGGGTGCAGGGGCTGTGGCCAGAGAGGCGAGAAGTACAAGGACGGGGGCGGCCAGCGCTTTTGGGATTGTTCTCCTCAAACATAGACATCCAGGTGGGGGAGGTGCCCAGCTGGCTGCGGAGCTCCAGCTCCTGCATCCTCCGAGCCAGGATGTCTGACACAGTGCTGCTGAGGTCATCAGATGACTCAATAACTGCAGGAGAGATGCAGCAAAGTCATTATTACACTGCTGTATAGTGGGATCGAGCCAGTTCTTACTATTTGGAACATGAACTGCTAATCCAGTCATAACTTGAGATGATTTAAATGTTATTCTTTTCTTTATATTCTTTTTAATTCTTAAAGCAAGGATTGTGATTGTGCTAATGCAGATTGAATGAATATTTTGATCTAACTGAAAGTACATATTATGGTTAGATTTAGAGACACATTTGCAGTTCATGAAATGCTCCTCTGAAATGTATTCTTGAGTTTATAAGGAAAATACGCAGACAAATTAGAGGATGTTA